AATTTTGTTTCATTCACATAGTGTTTAAATCTTTTCAATAATTTTTCAATTTAAAATTATGTTATTTTTGCCTACACTAGGTCTGCATTTTCTTTTTTTCTCCCCCTAATAATTAGTTGGATCTGAGTAGTGAATGACACATTCCAATTTGCCACAGTTTCCCCTCCAAAATCCCTGTTGTCTTTAAATTAACCTGTTTCACTTACCTACAAAACTTTCCTGATTCCTGTGGGCTAGAGTCATACTCAAAATATTTAACAACCAGTTTGGCATGTACACTGATCAATCAGAATGGATGTAAGTCATAAACAACTGATATATCTGGATATCTATCCTGTTTGTGAGCTTTCCACCTTAAACTACTTTGGAAAGCAGCATTCTTATCTGCTGAGAGTTGTGTTAAGGATTTTATTTGTATTATCTAATTTAGCTTTTATGAATTTAAATATTCTGTAGTTATTCTGAAATTTGAAATCTTTCTTTCTCCCGTGGTTTGATTAAATTCTTATTTTAAAGTTTCTTCTTACTTTTTCCATCTTATTTTAGGAATGAGGTAACTGAGATACAGATTATTACTATTTAAAAACCAGCACTTAGAAACTTGGCTACTTTCACTCCTTGACATTTGGATTTGGCAGCATTACTGTGGCTAATCACCATTCCCCACATTTTAGAATGCAGATTTGTATTCTTTCTTTGCTAGGCCTAATAGTGCTACAAATACGTTACATTACAAGCTTTGCTTTTTTAAGGTAGGATGTGTCTTCTGACTCTACTTACAAAGAAAAACGTTTGTAAGTGCACAAATTTAGCTGTGGAAGAAGTTCTCTCTTACGACATGGCATCTTTCCTTCAACATAGTTGCATTTTTTTTGGTCTCAAGTTGACTTGATTTTTGTAAGTTGTCCAGTAGAATAAGTTTTATGAGTGACTTTGATACCGGTAAATAGTTGAAGTCATCTCTCTGAAAAAAGGAAATGTGGCAGATTCATGGCAGAGTACAAATATCAAGTTGACTTGATTTTTGTAAGTTGTCCAGTAGAATAAGTTTTATGAGTGACTTTGATACTGGTAAATAGTTGAAGTCATCTCTCTGAAAAAAGGAAATGTGGCAGATTCATGGCAGAGTACAAATAATTGGGTAAAAATTATTGTGTGGCCCATTTATCAAAACTGATGTACAAAAAGACCTTTTATCGTCAATGTAAAGAAATGACTGAAATCATTGACATACAGTTTGTCATACAGGGTATAGTATCTTTTATTTTTTGATTGTTTCCAAATCTAAGTCAGTGTGCTAACTTCCAATCCTTTATCACCCCCCCCACCCCACCTCCCCACCTTTTGTTTTTCTTTATTCTCCAGTGGATGTAAAGTCAGAGGTTCCTGTGGGCCTGGAGCCCATCTCACCATTAGACCTAAGGACAGACCTCAGGATGATGATGCCTGTGGTGGACCCTGTTGTCCGTGAGAAGCAGCTCCAGCAAGAGTTACTTCTCATCCAGCAGCAGCAACAAATTCAGAAGCAACTCCTGATCGCAGAGTTTCAGAAACAGCATGAGAATTTGACACGGCAGCACCAGGCTCAGCTTCAGGAGCACATCAAGGTAGCAAATGTTTCTTTGTCTCTGACTTTCTTACTCAGTGAGTCTGCATCATGACATGGGTATAAGAAGTACCCACGGGGGTGCTGGGGAGGAATTCCTGTTTCATTGTGTTTAAGACATGGATGTATGGCTTTAAGGAAATTGTGATTGTACTAGTGAAAACCTTGGGTACGTATCTGCTAAAAATCTACTTAGCTTCTTAAAATGGTCTCTACCATTCTTTTATCCTTTACCTTATAGAATCAATGTCAGGAAATAGTAACTTGCCACCCTCATTTTCTATTCCCTCCTACATGATCTTGTTCATTTGTTCATCTATTCTCCGTGAAGAAGAACCATGAGCCTGGAAAGATGCATTTTATATTTCTAAAGAATTTGCATATACCGTTTACCAGAAAGGATAAATTAATCACCTTATGTAAAAAACTCAAGGGAATTATATATGGAGAAACTGGTGCAAATATTTTCAATGTTTTTGTAGACTGTAGACAATAATGTATTATAAGAATTTTGGAAGTAGTTGACAATTTGAGGTTCAGGATATTTAATTTTTTCTAGGAGAAATATATACACATCTCAGAATTTTTTTTGATGGCCTGTTTTATTACATTATTTTAGATATGTCTATGTATTTATTTTTTATTTGTATAATTGTATGTTATGTTACATTATAGTATAGCCACTTAATCTATTACTTACAAATCAAGTACAAGCACATTGATATGGGGTTAATATAGAAAACTAATCTATGTTAATATTAGGTAATTTTACCACATTAATATTACAACATCTGAGGAGGTAAAAATGCTACCTTCTTCTCTACGTTCCTTGTTTTACAAGATATTTTCTTCGCCCTGAAAGCCTATATTATCTTATTTTCCTAAAAAGTCTCTTTGACACTTTATATAAAACATAATCTTTTTCCTTTGCTAGTAAACTTTACTAAAAGAACTCTTGCATGTTATTGGTCTATAAGATACCTGAAAAATAAGAGTGATGATATTCTTTTGTGTCCCCTATGGAATCAGTATCTCATGACTATGTTTTGAAGTATGGTATCCTTCACTTAGTTTACATATTTATTTTTGAATGAATGCTGAAGCATTATTTCAATTTGACCTGTGAAACAATGATAGGAACATGGATGCATAGATCTCTTCGTTCAGTCCTTCCAAATGTGTTAGGATGGCAATAATGAATGAGTAAAATTTACATTCTTCACGAAGCATTATTTCAATTTGACCTGTGAAACAATGATAGGAACATGGATGCATAGATCTCTTCATTCAGTCCTTCCAAATGTGTTAGGATGGCAATAATGAATGAGTAAAATTTACATTCTTCACCATACTTTAAGACCTACAGAACTATATAGTTCATTTTGCTGCTGTTTGTGAGTCATGTTGCCCAGAATACAGGAAATTACAGATAAGTAACCACTTTTAATATTTGTTTTCAGTTATGTTTGTTGCCTTTTGTAGCTGTAAAATAAATAAGAATTTTTTAGAAGATCATTTATCATTTGATTGTACTCACAAGTTAATAGTAGTAAGTTGATAATTAATTTTTCCTTTTGCACAAACGAAATGATATGGCAGACTTATTGACATCTGGAAAATATTGGAAAAGAGGCTCTTGAGAGGAAAAGGATTATAAGGTAGCTAAAAGGAAAATTTAGCTTTTAAAATGATTGTTCAAAGTAATAAGTTATTTTCTCAGAAACTGAAGATATATTTAAAGCTTCCTTTTAAGATTGAGAAAGGTTTTGTCTCTTTAAAATTTTTCTTTTATTCTGTTACTTTTTGAATGGGTAAGGCTAAAAGTTTTTAACTTTGAACTTTTATATATATATATATATA